TAAGAAAACCACCGAAGACAGATACCTACGATACAACGTCAGTGATTGCTGCAAATCAGCCTTCGAAGCGGAACTCTCCGATCGCCTGTCAGTTCAACCACCAGTCGAAGGACTCAATGAACACTGGAAGCAAATCAAGGAAGCAATGCAAATATCATTAAAAACAACGTCGGACCCTGGCGTTGGTTCAAAATACAAACGGTGGATCTCGTTGGCCTCGGCTGCCCTGCTGGACGCTCGCAAAACCCTGCCTTCGGATGCCACATATGACACGGCGCGCAAATCCGTTAAACGCCAGCTCATCAAGAGTCTGAGGAATTACCGCGAGAAGCGGTGAGTAGAAAAGTGTAAATAGATGGAGAAAGTTGCGGCTATTGGTAATGGTCGTAACCTGTTCCATCTAATTAGTAATACGGGTCCTGGGAAAATAGGCGTAAGTGAGGTAATTAAGGGTCGCAATGGCACACTGATTCACGATCAGCAGCGCCGTCTTGACCGTGGGGTTGAACACTTCAAGGCCCCCATCGACATCTGATCTTTCACCCTCCACCTTGACTGGGCACATTCTGCCAGTTGATGCTAGTCCTCCATCTGAAATGGAGGTTACCCGAGAAATAAAGTATATCAAAAGGCATAAGGCTTCTGGTCCCGACAGGCTGTCCCTATCGGTATTTTAGGATGGAGGTTCAGCTTTGGTTTCGGAGTTAACAATACTCCTGGACTCAGTGTGGGAGATGGAACAGGTTCCAGCTGAATGGTGTGAATCGGTGATCATACCGATTTACAAGAAAGGCGATAGGTCCTCTTGTAGAAACCATAGAGGAATTAGTTTAACCAACATCGTCTCACTGGCATCATACTCCGGCGATTGTCTGCCGCACGTGAACGGTGCACGCGTGAGAACCAGGCTGGTTTTAGACCCGGTCGAGGTTGTGTCGACCACATCTTCACTCTTCGCCAAACTCTGGAGCACCGACAATCTTTTCATAGACCCACCATCTCTGTCTTCCTAGATCTGAAAGCGGCTTTTGACTAAGTCGACCGCTCTAAACTCTAGCGCTACCTTTCCCCGAATGGTATGCCCGAGAAATTTATTTTAATATGACGATCCCTCTATACTCGTGCGAGGAAAGTGGCATCGATTTACTCCCAGGTTACAGACTGTCTGATCTAGAGTATGCAGATGACATTGTGCTACTAAGTGAAGATCCAGGTAAGTTGCAAGCATTTCTGGATAACTTGAATGCCAGTGTAGCCATATTCGGTATGCGTTTTGCACCTTCAAAGTGTAAAATGTTACTACAAGACTGGGTTGGTCCAGCACCCAGTTTCACTCTAACTGGGGTAGTAATCGAGCAGGTGGATAAGTTTTGTTATTTGGGCAGCTACATCTCACCCGGAGGAGGCATCACGGATGAGGTGTCAGCTCTCATACAGAAGGCTCGGTTGACATCTGCTTACTTGAGACATTTGTGGGGTCGTCGGGACATCCGGTTGGTCATTTAGGGTCTAGTGTTTGCCGCAGCAGTTCGGCCAGTTCTTCTCTTTGGAGCAGAAACTTGTGCATTAAAAAAACGGGACAAAGATAGACTGTCGGTGTTTGAACATCGCTGTATACGCAGCATTATACGAATCTGGTGGGGTAGCCGGACGAGCAATGCTGAGGTCAGGCGCAAAGTTTTAGGCAACCGCGGTCTCCCACTGGAGCAAGTGATCGACCTCCATGTGTTACGCAGGTCAGCAGATAGGTTGCCACGGCGGGCGATGTTTGCCGAGGCAGGTAGTGGGCTAAATAAATCCTAGGGTGGCCAAGCTAATACCTGGCATGAGGGTATGAAAACCCTAACCAGGGAACTGGGTCACATACTCCTTGTTAGGCTCCCTGGATGGGTACCTCGGGATGGTCGTACCCGATGGTTAGAGACACTGAGTGATATGGCGGGGTGTCGTAATCAGTGGCGTTCGTGCATCTTCTCAATTTCTCGGCAACCATAGTTCACTGAACTTTTCAGCTACCTCTTCGATCCTACTTTCAACCTTTCCTGTCTTTCACCTAATGCTCATCCAAACGGGCAGCCGAAAGATAACAATCCAAACCAGCGTACGGTATCGCATGGTTAATGGTTGTACAAACTGAAACTGCTCCATTGTGTAGGGCACTTTTGCCTTCGGTGTACATGCGGCACATTGACCTCTTCAAAACAGATTTTCAATCACATTGAGATCCGGTCTATTAGAGGGAAGTTGAATGAACTGGACCCTAGAGTAACGCNATCTTTTCTGAAGTCTAAAAGCAAATAATAAGTGAACCAGACTCCTTAACTGAATAGATTTACAACCCTCGTGAAACATGACATGGAGCGTTAAGTTAAGTTTTCCAGACTACTGTTTTTCATGAAATTTTGGAAACATTTTCTTCATAACTGATACATATCTCCCACTTTTCGTGGTACCTTTTAACTGATGTCCACCGACAAGACTGGCCATGTTTTATCCCTGCCCAGGTAAGTAATCTCGACGGGTGAGAAACTAGTCTGTTTAGTGCAGTAAGTGAGGTAATTAAGGAGTCTGACGGAGTTTAGGGTATCCGCGGTCTCCCACTGGAGCAAGTGGTCAACCTCCTTAGATTACGTTGTTTCCGACATTTGTTACGGATGTCACCAGATAGG